TTGTTGGCCTACACCAGTCTCAGGAAAGCTCGCCAACTACAGACGCTGAAATGCTAGTCTAGCCTTGAAAATGTTACCTAGTTTGTTTTATCTTACTGTATAATTTATTAGCATAGAATAGCGCTTTCCTATAGAATATCTAGAACAACGTATTTTACTATGTTTCGAAAAGATTACTTAATCAGGAACCTGATTTCTAGTTTCCAGTGGCTCTATATTTGAAAAACAAACTGAAAATGTGTGTATAACATCTCAGATCTTTCATTGCTTAGTACAAGTACAGAGAAACTAGATTTTTACCTTAAAATAATGTTGTGTAAATTCACAAGTGACCTAAGTATTCACAAAACCGTACTCGCTCTACCTTGTCGATAGTGACATTTTAAACCATAATTTTATCCCTTTTTCCTTAATTATAAAGTGTCAAAGTAGCCGTGCAGTGAGCGCAATACATTAATCACCCTCTAATATGGCTCTAATGGGTTAATAGCCCCGTATCAATAAGCGGGCCCAGTACTCACGCGACACGCGGTCATTTGTGTCACAGCATAAACATAGTTATTTACATTTTATTCAACTTCTTTTAAAACTATACTTAAGTGCTTACTAATCGTGTGCGGCCAATCTTTATTTATTTACTTATGTATAGTTTTCATCAATATAGTAAAGTAGTACGAGTACATTGAAGGTCTGAGATAGAATGGTAATTTTAGGTATTTTTGGATAGCTGTTCTTGTTTTGGAAAGCATTAAGACACCTCGGCGCTTCTTCGAGCTTTGGTTGTTTTCAGCAAAGTAGGTAATCAATTTACCCCTAGGTTTAAAATTGTATGCCTCTACCTACCTACCTACATACATAGATAGGAGTAAGAAAGTCGTAAGTGATTATTCTTATAATATTAGTTTCTATGTTGACATTAGTCCCTAAGTGCACGTAGGAAATTTTACTTTAATTACTTAAATTAATTACATGATACATAAACTTCATAAGTAATCGTTTGTAATTTCAATATTTATAAATATTAATTAATCAATTAATTACCTTTCAACGTTATTTATTTACATAACTAGCTTTCCGCCCGCGGCTTCGCCCGCGTGGAATTTTGTCTGTCACAGAAAAACTTTATCGCGCGCGTCCCTGTTTCAAAAACCGGGATAAAAACTATCCTATGTTCTTTCCCGGGACTCAAACTATCTCTATGCCAAATTTCATCAAAATCGGTTGCGAGGTTTAAGCGGGAAAGCGTAACAGACAGACAGACAGACAGACAGAGTTACTTTCGCATTTATAATATTATAGTTGGGATATAGTTGGGATAGTTGGGATGAGGTTCGTTTATAAATACGAACGTAACCCTAACTTGACAGCGCGAAAGGGTTGGATTGAAAGTTTCGGCGCGGGCGCATTTCAAGGGCATTAGTAATGGCGGGGTTGGCGGTTAAGCCACATGCAGATACGCCTGTCATTTTAATTCGTTTATTGCCCGCAGTGGCACTGAAAGGGTTAATTACCGGTTCAACCTAGCATTCACCCCGTTCGGAGTTTTGTACAACATTGTTAGTAAAGGGTGGTATTAAGTTGTTGACATGTCAAATCTATGGGTAAGATTAAATAGTTATTTTTTGTAGAGCATTAGTTACATAGATTTCTGATCGTTTTGCACCAGAAAGGGGTGCATGAGAGTACCAGCTTAGTGATAATTAGACTAAAATTAACATTAAGTATCAGGGAAATACTTACTTATTCGTCTTTAACTTTTATTGTAGGTACGAGTATTAGTACCTACTCACTCATTAGATACATTATGTATAACATAAACCCCGATATAATTTTATTAATGCCATCGTTAGTGACCACGAAAATTTTTAAATAACGTCATAAAGTTTTACATATTAGGAATACTGGACTTTGGTCGCATCGTCAAGACGTCACTCTTAAAAAGGGCCTCCCGTAGATTTCTAGCAAGTAAGACATATTTATAAACAAGTTTCATGAAATTGGTTTCTGTAACCTATAAAGAAACAACAACTTTTATTTATCATTTGGTCCATGTAAGATGAGCACGCAACCGCTAAAATGAATGAGATCTAGATTGTCTGACATTTTATTAACGATAAGAAATAATATACGACATCTTTCGCAATTTCCATAGTTTTTCTTCATAAACAACCTCTTAGACACAAAACCTATAACTCGTTAAAATTAAGCCCATAAAACTACAAAATTGCAATAACGGTAATAAGAAGTAGTTTTTCAGCAGCTACAATTGCGTCTAGCCGTCTCGATGGAGCGATTTGGCATGAGACGGGTTGACGCCTCGTTCGTAGGCTGTTTGTCTTCGGGCTTAATGTGGAGGGGATGAGGGATTGAAGTCTGTTGTTACAAAAAGGCAGGGTCAGTAAACTTTGCAGCACTTCCTGGAGTTTTAGTGCTCGTTTTCGCGAGCTAACTTTGCGAAGCTCATTTCTGCTACGCTTCGCCGTAAAAATGTTATGATCGATGCACCAATTAAAAACACCATTGTAATTTACCGCTACAAAAAGTTTTTGAAGGCAACCTGTTAAAATATAGAAGAGTACATTTTTAATGGGAATACAGAAAGCACGTGTCTTTGAAACGAAAAATTTTCATTAATGTATGATCGTGAGAAGTGCAAGCTCGTAGGCGCCCATTGTGGCTAACGAACATCGCGTCATGGTGGCTGCCTTAGGGGACCATGTGGAACTTCGCTATTTCTACTTGCATTTTTCACTAATTAAAACTTAAATTGTTGCACACGCATTAAGTTTAAGCTTCTTCGGACAGTTAGTTTCTCAGCTCCATAAAGTTATATGGGACGATCAGATCAGTGTAGGGCGTCGTGTATAGTGTCTGGAATTTGAATCCCATTGCACCATTTATTTTTATTAGTGTTAGACAACCAGTCTTGTTTTAAAACGGTATTTCTTCTACTGGGATTCGGAATTAAATCGAGAAGACACGTGCCATTCTTTTCTCTTTAGAAAGTCGTATTATCCGCGTATTGAAGGAAAACACCCTTACTACTATTACCTAGCTATTTCTTAAGGATGAACGTGAAATGTCTTATTTCCATCCGACTGGCCGCAAAGTCGTTTGTCTGCAAAGTTTAACGGCGATACTTTCTTTGCGGAACTTTCAGCCGATTGGAAGTCGTTTTATGGACTTGTTTTGCATGCCAGTCGACGATATTTTTCATGATGCGTTTTATATTGAGTTTGTATTGGGATTCAGTGCTTTTGTGGTTACTGGGCTGCCGCCAAATTAAATTGCTAGTATGTAAGATGGATATCGATTAGACATGGCTCCAGTCCATTGCTACAATTCAGTATCTTGATTGTTTTTTGTTTTTAACTATTGTTTATTATCTGACCGGCTCGATATTCGGTAGACTTACCTATTTGAGAATAAATGTACCTATACAATATGTATTATGCTTTTTGTTTGTTCTGTAGGTATGTTTAATTCGATTTATTAGGTCTTCTTTCTGGAAATCATGTTTCTGCTTTACAATCCAGCAGTAAATATTTATTTTGATGAAGTGTGTCGTCTCTGGCAGTACTTGAGCCATTGTGCGCGGTTCCCACATGTCGATATGGACAGACTGCTTTCACTGATAGTGGACAGACGAAACTGTAGATAAGGGGCTTATCTTTTGTTTCTATTGTTGATTTATGGATTCCTTCTACAATAAATAAGTGGGTAGAGTCATATTCAGATACGTATTTTCAAGAATAATAAGTACACATGGTATCGAAACCAGTGAAATTTCTCACGGAAAATGTATAATTTTCAAATATAAACATTGTCAATTAATTTTCATCGTGTATTTTTATCATTAATATCAGAAATAAGTCATTAAGTAAACAAAATTAGTTTCTTCTTGATAGATTAGGTATTTTTGATATTATCATGTTGGTAGTTGTAACAATAACGGTTGTGTCGTGTTACACGGAATCGAACCGTAGTAGCAAGATAGTAAATGTTACTGAAAACCTCTTAACTACCTACGTAGATAGTAAATAAATGAAAAAAACATGTATTAAAACATTTTATTCATCTCTCGATACAAATAACTTACAAAACTTACATTAATACAAATTATTTGTACAAAAATCAGATTAATTTCTTTACATTACATTTTTTACTTTGAAATATTTTTGGGATATTTAATTTTAAGTGCCTTACATTCTTCATTTAGTTTGTGATTACTTAATATTATTTCAAAGGAACCGCCAGCGGCTCGGTGATTTTCTGTTAATATTTTGTGCCAAACAACGGGCGTGACACGTCACACTTAATCGCCCACTGTTTGACAGACGCTAAATATTATGTTGCGTAAATATTAATATAATTGGATTCATGATACTTCTAATAAATATGAATGAGTATTGTCATTGGCTTTAATTTAGCTGCTACAAGAAATAAATATTGAGCAATCAATTAATTAACGGTACACTATTCACAACTTTCTTTAGAATAACGTGATTATTATTGCATAAATAACTTCAATGGGGATGTTGCCTGGGTCAAAAAGCAAGAGTTTTAATTAGTCCGTCAGTTAACTTATCAAAAAATACTCTACACGTATTTTTCACTTTTTCAAACTAATGAAAATTTAAAGAGATAAAGCGCCCCAAAGTTCATAAGAAGAGGCCCGTGACGTCAACGCTTGCTTAAAAATGCCGCACGTTGTGACGTCGTGCGCAACTTCAACGCACCATAACTATGTAATTATTTGTTAGATTGACAAATAAAAATATATGTGTCCAATATTTTTTGATATTAAACATTACGGACTAAAAAAATTTTTTTAGGCAACTAGCCTATTACGTAAGGCAATCTTAAAACTAACATATTTACATTTAGTATCAAAATCTGAACACGCTCAATAAAGTGTTATACAAAATAATACGATATACATTTGTACTTAGTTCCATTTACAGAATTTACTTAGATATTTTACCATCCTTATACAAACTTATCTAGCAGTTACATCTAAGTGGCAAAGTGGGATATGTCTTAAAATTAACTTTTTAACAAGATATGAGTTATAGTTACAAAAGCATACGATATGTGGATTAATTTACGCATATATTAAACTCCCGAATAAGTTAAAGCTGACGTTTATAATACAGACACTAACTTTAAGCCCCACGTGAACTGAATAAAAAGAAGCAAAGCCATTCGGCGTGAAAGGTGTATCGATGAATGACGCATGTGGCAAGTTTAGACGCGATTACGCCCAAATTATAATCAAACTGCAAACAAATTTGTCGAAACCGCACGCTTTGATAGCGGGCCTTTGTGCGTCCGCGCACACCTGGCGCCGCGCGCTCACACCCCTCGGCCGAACCCACCAGTTGGCCGATTAACCCTTAAATGCATGATTTTTTATTTAGTTATGAAAAAAATATTTCAATTAGATTTTTAGTCACAGATAGGGGGAAAAATAATAAAAAAAATCTTAGTACGAAAAAAATGTATATTTTTGAAAAATAACAGTATGTAGCCAAATGTCTACACCATGCGTTTTTATGCCATAAAATTGTTCTATGGAGGCAGCTCTTGCTGCTTTAAATGATGGTGCAGTCTCAGAAGATGATGAAAATTTAAATGATGATAACATCGATTATTACCCAAACGTACGAGATTTATTGCATGATCGGGATGAGGAGTCCATAGATCATAATCTACCCTTGGAACATAACGAAGACCCTGGAACATAACCCTCCCATAGTCTATGAAGAGGAGCATATATTAGATCAGATCTTCGTTATGTTCCAGGGTCTTCCAAGGGTAGATTATGATCTATGGACTCCTCATCCAGATCATGCAATAAATCCCGTACGTTTGGGTAATAATCGATGTTATCATCATCTAAATTTTCATCAACTTCTGAGACTGCACCATCATTTAAAACAGCAAGAGCTGCGTCAATTTCCTTTTCAGATAGCGAGCCAAACATGCTGAAAAGAAAAGCCAAATAAGCAAACCATAGAACAATTTTATGGCATAAACGCATGGTGTAGACATTTGGCAACATACACAAAAACCAAGTCGAAGGCACATTCGGGATAGATTACCAAAAAAATAAGTTATAATTATGAATTGTTACATTATTTCTAACACGTATGTATTTTTTTCCAATCGTTTTAGCAATTAATTCTTACTGAATCCGAAATTCAAATACCACAAATTTTAATACTACCAATTTTTTCTCTTTCGCAATCGCTACGTCAAATATCAGTTAATTTTTTTTCAAATCTACCTTCATTTGCGGTTTTTTTATTTGTATTCGGATGTTTTCTATGATATTAGCGTACGTTCAGAAACGCTTATAAAATGTGTTACTTTTTATAATTAAAAAAGTATTTCGTAGACATATGGCAACACTATGCATTTAAGGGTTAAAGCGATCTTTCTACATTGGAAGACGATTCGCGGTTAAAATTACGGTCTTAAAGTACTATGGCGTTTAGGGGCTAACCTATCAAAGAGTCAGTCTTTTAATCGGAGGTTGCTGTCACTAGGAGAGGTTGTGAGGCACTAGGAGGACCCAGGATCACGAGATGATGCAGTTCTTGTCGTTTTGCGCGTTCTTTCTCTGCCGCTCGCGGCGCGCGCACGCGACCGCGTCGTTGGGGACGTACGATATTCGGACTCCACCGTATGCTCTTCTCGTCGGTAGGGTATATGATTCTGCTGAAGACGACGACGAGGAGCACGTGCTGCAGTAGCTGCTGGCGTCGTCGTCTCGGACCTTCTCTCTTCTCACCGGCTCGTCCGGCTCGAAGGCCTCGTTGTCGTCTCCGCAAAATCTCACAGTTCTTCCGCCTCTGGCTTTCCTCGGAGATTTTCCATCTACTAAAGTCAACTCCGGCATCGATGACGAGTGGCCGGGAGTCACCACCGCCTGGGCTTCAACAGGATGAGGAGGTTTCCAGTCTTCTGGCGATTCCTCCTCTCTGTGTTCCTCCGAAGTCGGAGTCGGTTGTATTTGGTGTTCTGTCATAGATTGTTCTAGTCGCAAGTCTGCTAGCGCTCGATCTAGACTTAGGCAAGCGTGGGGCGGAGGCGGTGGGTGTGGTGGGGGTGATTCCGGCGCTAACGAGCAGCTGGGTTCAGAATCGGCGTCTATGTGTGGCGAGGGTTGTCTTTCAGGGGTTCGGGGCGGCGATTTGGGCGACGGGACTCGCCTCGGTCGAGGGACACGCGAGGGTCTCGGTCCCGGGCCGGAGGAGTCCGACGGCGTCGGCGGTTCTCCCTTCGAGCAAGCAATGGAGCAGAATATGGCTCCTTTGCGTGGGAGGAAGGGGCGGCCGAGGAGGCTGGCGCGGCAGGTGTGACAGGCGAAGCAGCGCTCGGTGGCGTGCCAGTGCTGGCCCTCGTGCGACATCTGGCCCTGGTCCACGCCCACGGGCTCGCCGCAGGCGTCGCAGTACTCGGCGAAGCAGGCGTCGAAGCAGGGCAGGCAGAAGGGCCGCGCCTCGCGCATGATGTAGCGCTGGCCGCCCAGCTGCCGCGCGCACTCGGCGCACGCGAAGTGCTTCATGTGCCACGCGCGGCCCTCCGCCTCCGTGCACTCGTCTGCTAGTATTATCTGTGGACAAGGATAGTCTGTTAGTCGAAGTAGCTAGGTTTTAGAAGGTTCAGCTGTCGGAACATTCAACAGGAAAGTTTGTAGCTGAATGCTTAGTCAAGCGTCATTCCGTTGAACATACTGTGATTACCTACATTGGAAGGGTAAATAATTGTGGTATACGCAAGTGTCTGAAAGAAAAACATACAAAAAAGAGAAATGAAGAGTTTTAATAACAACCATTTCTATTTATTGTGATAATAACGCAACCCAATTCAATGATTTCTCTGAGCTCGTGTGTTAACCTCGTGACGTGCAACACAATGCATGTCCATTACCTCACCTGAAATCATGACAAAGTAGCGTTAAACCTGCATGAATACAATTATAATTTCTCGTAACAAAATTACGAAAATGGGACGGTTTGTTAACCTGTGCCGAGTCAGTGGCCTTAGCAAAACGTTATTAAATCACGAAATCGGAACTATCTCTTCGACGCGGCGGCGGACGCGCCATCAATCATCAGCTCACTCCAATTAACCACCCTGACCGACTCTAATTAATTAGCTGGATAAACAAGCTTAATTAGACATTATTATTCATCGCTGTTATCATTTCCATAGCCCGCATGAGACGGCCAGTCCAGTTGATGTTCAATTATTCCAGTTTATTTTTGCAAACATACTAAAGTTTTATCCAGTGTCCATGACGGTGTTTGTCTGTCTCTATTTTTTTCTGCAACTTAATTTTTTAATTTTCATGCAATCCTATGTATTGTCAATTATGAAAAATCTAAAACGTTAAAATAACGGTATCGTTGTGGCCAATGAGATGCTGTCATAGTGACATTGACAATACGTCAATGTCACGCTAGCATCAAACGTCAGAATAGAGGGACGCGCGGAGACGACTCCGCGCGCTTTTGTGCTAAGTAATGAATTGTATCTAAAATAAGGCAATATAATGTGAAATAGATCGACCGGCCTCTAATAGTATATTTTCAGAACTTCGCAAAGTTAGACCTTAAAGCTTTTCTAAGCTATGTTCAATAGAACAATATTTTTAGTGCTTTTGTATCTTGAAGATTAGTATGTTTTTTTGTTGATAATTTGACAAACATTTATGTTCGTATACCTAGTTGTTGCAATTCACGAAGGCGAGTGAGCTCTACATGTGTGATGGATCGCTACTGTTCGTTTTTCGAAAGTTTTCGAAAGTTTTGATAGACATCGTTATGTGCATGTACACGTACACACACAAGTAAATCTCACTCGCCTTCGTGAGTTGCAAGACCACCGTGAGTTGTATACTACCAAGTCTGCGCATCTACATGAGTAGTCTGTTCTCCCCGGGCTGTGGCATTGGCGAAGCTTACATAGGTTGGGTGCTGTCGACCCCAGGAAAGTTGTCCAAGAGACAATGCCTGACGCGCTCCCACGGGCCCGCTAATGGCCGGCGTTATTAATATTTCAAAACGGTATTCTGTGTCAAGCAATGCAAGTGATGGACTGAACTTATTGTACTTGATTAATTTTACGTTTCCCAAAATGTGGAAAAATCTTTATTGGGGCGTTTTTTGGGATATTTTCTTAATTATTTCTGAGCTTGGTAGTGGGTGTGAAATACCTAGTACTAAATGATACCGACTGAAGAGTCACATCTTCATTATTATGATGATTATAGCGATATTTTAGGTATAACGATATGATTGTACGAGTTTTTTTGTGGTAGGATTTGTAAGTGGAGTAATAATAATAATAANAAGTCTTCTTCTTTTCGTCTTTTTGCTGGACTCGTCGAACTCCTTGAGTGGTCGTCCAGGTGTAGAATCTTTCGACGTGGAAGACTGAACTTTATGAACAGAAACATGTAACACTATGGCTCCGGGAATCCACTCAGTTTTGTTTTTCATGAAGCGTTCCCTGTTTTGCCGTATTTCGTCCATTGAAATGAAATTGAAATGCGACTGATGCTATTCTTCAACTCTCTCAGCGAATTTTCGTGATCCCAATACATCACATTTTGAGAATATAAATTAAAAATCATGCTATTCTGGTCACTTTTCCAATGTTTTAATCATTAATCAAAAAACTTGATTTTTTATTAATCTGAAAAAATAAAATTGTTGTGCAAAAGTGTGCAAACTGAAACTGGTATATATGAATACTAGAGGGTTACAGCTACAATATATATAAATTCCAGACTGGGGTCAAGTGGGGGCATACAACTTCTAGTCTTCCAAACATAAAATTTTGAGAAAAATATAAAGGTCAACATTTCGCCATAGTTTTTAAAACTATGTGCATTATTATGCACCTTATTGTACAGAAAATAAAAAGTACTTACCCTTATCTTCAAAATCCATCACACAAATATTTGGTCACCATAGTAAAAAATAATGTCAGGTGTTGTCGAAAGTCGAGCAAAATTAGGAATTAAAAATTACACTATCCTCATATCCTCACTTATCATGTTAATTACTCACGACTAGGTAATTAACAAAGTAAAAAATTGTGGAATCCTTAATGTCTGGGATGTTGTTTATCGTTTTTTATAAACGATAATCGGAAATTCAACAATGACTTTTGTCCAGCTAGCTTGTTCTACACGAATCACAGTGCGTCGTTGCTTAGGTTAGTGTCCGAAGACAGTTTTTATATTTACGATTTTAATTGTTTTTTTATTTAGTTAATTAGTACTTTAATTACAATTATCAGGTTTATTAAGTACGTATTCACGGACATTATAATTTATTATGTCAATAAATCATGCGTGTAATATTTAACGCGGTTATGCAATTGAATAAGTAATATCATAAGTAATTCATTTATGTGAAGGTCGAGCTAAATTATACCGAATTTTATTAAAATAAACGATTTTCCTCGTGTGTAGATTTCGCATTTTTTCCTAAATTACGAAATATTAGTTGTAGATGATATGGATATCGAACCCGTAGCCCGGACGCTTCAGACTTCCTAAAAGCTGGGGTCACGGGGCTCTCACTGCGCCATGAGAGCGGCGCTATCACGCTCATTATCCCTCTTGCGCAATACTATTGTGTCTGAACGAATGTTTGTCAAGACACCGGCTCTCAACATTTCTGTGCCCTCTAACCTACCTTAGGCTAAGTTTCCAACAAGGCAGAGCGAAGCAGAGAAGTCGGATTTCATTATTTCCACTTCTCTTCTCCGCTCCGCTCATCAGCTCCTCTTCACGCCGCCGCGCTGCCACGGCTGTCAAGTTCTATAGAAAAATTGACGGCCCGATACTTCTCCGCTTTGCTCCGCTTCGAAACCGTTCCGGCCGCGGCAGCGTAAAAAAGGCCTACCAACTATTCTTACTGTTCCACAGGAACGTGTCGTAAAAAGCGTCTACGGGAGAAATATTATGCGAACATCAGGCCTCCCAAACCCGTCTGGCCAATATGGGAAGATTAAGCTGGACAATAACCTGATGATATTGACTTCTACCCCTGCCGAAGCTTTTCGCCTCTACCCGTCTCTATTATACATATCGATGCCGATGAGATCACGGAAGCCCATTGGCACGAAGCTCGCATTCGAATCTCGGATTAATCGTTTTTAATGATTCTCATTAGCAGTACTCAGTACATACATATTGATATTTCTTGTACCATTTTACAGCTATACCAATTACAATATGAATAATGATACAAAATGGGAATGTTTTAAATTGTACCAATAAATTATTAGTTTAATTAATCCGTATTAATGATATTTAAATTGGTTGAAAAGGCAAGAGCGTGTTAAACGCTTTGATGTAGAGTCTATTCTGTTTTGACGATATTGGCTTACTTTTATTTGCAAATTCATTCACCATAATTGTAGTGGAATATGATGTTTTTAGGAGAAACATATTCCTTGGAGTCTTGCTAGAGGTTACTTATTGCTTAGAATGGTGATCTATAAGAACCCCCCTGCCATGTTGAGAATCACTGTCTGAAACTCTCATTTGTGCTTTTCCTTTAGCAAATAGTTTTCCACGTTCCTGTGACATTTGACTTTAATGGCGTTTTTATTATTTATTTAATTGCTCTCATTCATTTTACATTTGTAATGGTTTACGTTATCAGTGCTTGTGACATCGTTTGTTATACACAATCCAAGTAAGATGATTTGTGTAAAGTTGGTTTTAATGTGTTCCTGGCAAAGTGTTTTTCTTATATTTAACCTCATGGCTATGTATCCAGGTTTAATTATAAATATGTACTGTCTTTCTTAGCATTTAAAACTTACTAGTATGTACCTACCTAAGTGAAGCTAATGCCTAACACACATGTTATGGTTCTCATCACTCGAACTTTGTTTCTTTTTAGGTCTGAATTTAAATAACCTAGCTATTTAACTTTTTTATTGATTGGCTAACCTTAACTAACCTACTATTTGTACAGTTGGGCACAATGTGTAATTAAATTGAAATGATAAAGTTCATTATGTACTCCTTTAAGGTAGGTATTTGCGGTTTACTCATTACGTTCATGTTTCAAAACATAATAGCGTAATTTACCGGCGCCTCGGATTGACGTCAATAAGTATTGAGAATGCTTCCTCGAAGTTTTCACTTAAATGCGTAGTTTTTTAATTAAGTTGTTTTATGATACGGCTTTATGTCACACGGCTATACCTAAATTAAACTGTACTTTAAGTTAATACTTCGTTGTAGGTACCTATTCTATTTATATTTAATTCTTATAACGGTTTAATCACATTTTAATAACAACTTGGTTTTGCCCACGGCACCCGCGAGAATATCGGATCTTTCAAAACCCAGGAACTATCCTCATGAACCACTCGATCTATTAGTGAAAACCGCATGAAAATCCGTTCAGTAATTGGTTAAGTTTATCGCAAACAGACGAGATGGAGGATTTATTAGGAGTTATTATTCGTTTCAGCCGAAAGACGTCCACTGCTGGACAAAGGCCTCCCCCAAGGATTTCCACAAAGACCGGTCCTGCGCCGCTTGCATCCAGGTACTTCCCGCGACCTTCACCAGATCGT